ACATCTAAAAAAGCCTTCACAGTTCTGGAACAACATCCTATGGACAGATGAGACCAAGATCAACTTGTACCAGAGTGATGGGAAGAGAAGAGTATGCAGAAGGAAAGGAACTGCTCATGATCCTAAGCATACCACCTCATCAGTGAAGCATGGTGGTAGTGGGCATGTATGGCTGCCAATGGAACTGGTTCTCTTGTATCCACTGTGGTGGTGTATAGAGCCAAAAATGTTAGAATTGTGTCGATGTCCCAATATTTATGGACCTGACTGTAGTATTTATGAGTTATGTGTTAGTGAGTTATGATATAATTTAAACCAAAAATTCTAAAATATAGGGTTTTCAAAAACTTTTGACTGGCAGTCTATTTAAATATGTAAATATTCGTAACTTAATCAATGAAGGATTAGATTTTAGCTTTTAATTACAGTATTTAATTACAATATTTAGTACAAAGCCTTCATTAGCCTTCATTAGATTAATCATGCACAGACTGATTGTGCATGATTAATGCGTTACTATGAATGTGAGCCTGATTTATGCATTACTAAATAGTTGCGTATGTGTGCACAAAGCTGTTAAACTAGCGTGAGTTCTCTTTAGATGGCAACTGAGATTCAAGCAAGGAGAAATTATGAGGGGGAAGTAGACAAAGGCATGTAAAAAACGGAATTGAAACCAAATGTTTTCAAAACCTTTCCATTTAGTTTACAGGGAATAAATGAAAAGGGTGACAGAAAGCACTCGCATTTAATGTGTTTGAGAGTGCACATTAGAGATGAAATTTTAGGTGGAAAGTTGTCACTGGAGTCCTTATTTCAGAGAGGTGTCATCTCAGGACCTCATTAGCTGGGGAAATTTGCACTTATTCAAATGAAATAATTGGAACCTTACAGTTTATACATTTTATAAAATGCCCTATGTGAGACATTATTGAGAAGGCATGGCAGTAAATCCATAAAATGATGTGAAGTGACACGCTTTATGAAAACAAAGGCATCCTGCCAGGCTCTAAATGTGTCGATGTGGTGCAGGTGACCTTGAAAAAAAAATTGCTGAATATGTGTTATGATCAGGCTGGCCAATAATTCTGGAAGCTATCTTGCACCAAGTGTGTGTGATTGGGGCAGAGATGTTCACATATTGTAAATACATGCATGCTGTTCATAAATGGAAGCAATTTCAGGCAGTCAGTAAATGCAACGCAGCACAGCAATTACATGTGCACAAAAAAAGCTGTACACTGAAGGGGAAAATAACAATGGTGGATGACAGTGGAAGTGCTGACAGCCTTGTGTTTGTGGGTCAGACTTGGAAAAAGCTTATATAATGGACCCTTTTGTTATCTGTTCCAATTTCTGCGACTGCAAAGACTATGAACGCCTTAGATTTTAATGAATGCACTCAGAGCATGCCAAAAATATACAGTCCATTTAAAACTGTAAAACTCATGATTTATGTGCCAAAGGAATGGCACTTGTGCTCCTCAGATGTAGACTTCCTTTCAGTGTTGTAACACCCAAGCCTTGGAATCTCCTTCCACAGAGCCTCACCGAAGCCTCATCTCTCTCCTCCTTCAAAACACAGCTCGAAACCTCTTATCTCCTTCCTCAGTGCTATCAATATCTCGTAAGTGTCTACGGTGTTTCTAAGCAGTTCCTCTACTTCCTTTTCCTTCTTCCTACTTCATCCAATTGTTCTTATCCATTATGTTGTATAAGATGTTTGTTTATGATTATTATTTGTTACATGCTTATAAATTAAATATATTATTCTTATTATTACAGCATGTATATAGCTATGTATAATTGCATTGTTTTACGTATTTTGGACAAATCAGCAGTATTTAATTCAATTCAATATCACAAAGCAGCTTTACAGAAATCAGGATGAAAATTAAGATGACTAATAAACAAACCAGATGCGACAATGGCAAGAAAAACTCCATGAGAGCTTAAGAGGAAGGAAGGTTGAGAAGAACCAGACTCAAAAAGGATCACATCCTCTTCTTAAATACGCCGGATAGTGGAACTACAAATCATTACTCTTCTACAACTGTATACTACAGAGTCAAACAGTACTAAGTGTGATGAAAGGGTGTTCAGTATGAGCATATTATGAACAAGAGTCCTAGAATAGGCATAGGAAAGAGGGGAAAGTATAGACTGTATCTAAATCATCACAGACTTGCCTCAAATGCTCTGAGTTGTACATAATCTCATATTTACTTGTTAATATGGTTTCTGGCAGTGTATGATATTATTATCTACCAAAAAAGGAAAGAAGTATGTTGCAGACCTAAAAACAAGTATCATCCACCATGAAGCCTTCCTTAGCACATACACTATATACTGTAGCTGAAAGTATGTTGACATCTGACCATCACACCCATTTGTGATTCTTCCCCCAAACTGTTGCCACAAAGTTTGAAGCACAGAGTTGCAAAGAATGTTTTTGTATATTGTAGCATTATAATTTCCCTTCACTGAAACTAAGGAGCCCAAAACCTGTTCCAGCATGACAATGCCCCTGTGCACAAAGCGAGTTCCATGAAGACATGGTGTGCCAAGGTTGGTGTGGAAGAAGTCAAGTGGCCTGCACAGAACCCTGACCTCAACCCCACCGAACACCTTTGGGATGAACTGGAACACTGACTGCACCCCAGGCCTCCTCACCCGACATCAGTGCCCGACCTCACTAATGCTCTTGTGGCTGAATGAGCACAAATCCCCACAGCCACACTCCAAAATCTAGTGGAAAGCCTTCCCAGAAGAGTGGAGGTTATTATAACTTTTGGCCATATAGTGTAGCTTGGAGGTTACAAATAAAGTGAAAAACAATCAGAAACTTTTTTAGGGAAAAAAAGGAAAAATAAACTTGGTTGCAGAAGTGTGCACAGTCTAAACCAATACTTTGTTGAAGTACCTTTTGACTGTATTACACCGCTCAGTTTTTTTTTTGGATAAGAGACTATCAGCGTGGCACATCTTGACTTGGCCATATTTTCCCACTCTCTTGCAAAAAACATTCTAGATGCATCAAATTGTAAGGGCATCTCCTGTGCACAGCCTGCTTCAGGTCACCCCACAGAAGTTTAGTTAGATTCAGGTCTGGGCTCTGGCTAGGTCAGTCAAAAACATTGAGCTTCTTTTGGTTAAACCATTCTTTTGTTGATTTGGATGTATGCTTTGGGTCATTGTTGTGCTGAAATGTGAAATCGTCAGCTTACTAGTGGATGCCTGAAGGTTTTGCACTAAAATCGACTGATATTTGTAGCTATTCGTGATTCCCTCCACCTTGATAAAAGCCCCAGTTCTGGCTGAAGAAAAGCAGCCCTAAAGAATGATGCTGCCACCACCATGCTTCAGCGTGGGTATGGTGTTCCTTTGGTGATGTGCTTTTTTTTGCCCCAAACATACCTTTGGGAATTATGGAATTATTATACCTTTTGAAATTTGTCTCATCAGACCATAACACATTTTGCCACATGGGTTGGGGTGACTTAGTTGGGCTTGGATGGTTTTTGCGAACAAGGGCTTCTGTCTAGCCACCCTACACTGTAAACCCTAATGTTGTCTTTACTTAAACAATCAAGTAATCATGACTAAATCTTACTTAAAATGTTGCGTTTTGTACCCATAATTCAAAAATCTAACTTTGCTTAACTTATTTGCATACAAAATACATAAACTTAAGATTTCAAGTGTTATGAACTCAAAATTATGATTCATTAAAATAGCTCACTCTGGCCTTTCTTTGATGTGATGTAGTCTGGCAACAAGAGAACTAACACATTGATTGGTAGATAATTGCAAAAAGGCGCTCCTCTTCGTCTCGACTGTTGCTGGTACCGGTGTACTGAAGAGTTCATCACGAGTAGCCGAGACGACTCTGTGTGTGTTTACAAAGAAATGGCATCCTCATGTAGATGATATTTTGCAAATAAAGTTGCATGTTGCTAAAAAGTGGTAATTTCTTCAATGTATGCAGACTAAGGACACCCTGTATTTAAGTACACTTGAAATGAACACCAAGCTAAGTGAACTTAATTTTTGTAGTAAACTGGTTGCCTGGTGGACTAGTGGCTAGCATGCGGCGCTCTCACCACCGTGGGCCGAGTTCGATTCACGTTTAGTAAACAATAAAATATGCTATGTGAACACCAGGTTAGGTTAACTAAATTATTTAAGTACACTATATGGACACCAAGTTAAGTGAACTTAACAATTTAAGTACAGTCTACATGAGCATCAAGTTAAGTGAACTTAAATATACAAGTTTTGGGAGACCCCATTACACAATTAAATTGAGGAAATGAGTACTCAATCAATTGTGTACAGTCAACTTGTTAGGGTTTTCAGTGTACCCCATAGCCCAGACATATGAAGAGATTGTTGTCACATGCAGAGAGTAATCAGTACTTGTCAGATATTCCTGCGGCCCCTTTAATGTTGCTGTAGGTCTATTGGCAGCCTCCCTGGTAAGTTTTTGTCTTGTCCTTTTCTAAATTTTAGAGGAACTCCTGTTTTGGTGATGTTACTGTGGTTCTCTGTTTTCTCCACTTGTTGATGACCGCTTTTACAGTATTCCATGGTATATCTAATGCTTTGCAAATACTTTTGTACCCCTTTCCTGATCAAAAACTTTCAACAGTTTACAGGCTTTGTAAGTTCTTTGCAGACCATGGCTTCAGCATTCAGATGAAAACAAGGAGATGTGAAGAATTCTACAGAAACAGCTGATCTTTATTTGGGGCTAATCAGAATAATCTCATTGATGACAGCTATATGATAATTACTTTTGAACATGAGACTGAATGTGATTGGTTCATTCTGAACACAGCCACATCCCCGAATATAAAAGGATGTGCACACTTATGCAACCAGGTTATTGTAACTTTTTTCCCTACTTTTCCCTAAAATGTTTTGATTGCTATTCAATTAATTTTTATATGTTGTAGTTGGTTTGACTCTGCTAGTTGGTTTGAGGGTCAGATTTGCTTCTTTTAGATAGCCATTTCTACTCACTACAGTTGTGATTTATTTGCCCCCTAAACTTGTGCTTGTACTTGTGCTTGTATTTCGAGCTGTTTCTTTTATTCTATTACACATTACAGGTTTTCCATAAACATTGTCATAAATGGTGTTTGATACTGTTTGGCTTTCTTTTACAGCATTGTTGTTGTTGTTGTTGTAGCAGAAAGTGCAAAGGCTACTTACAGTAGCAAAAACCCTAAAGTGTGGAAAGGCCTCTTTTACATTAGAAGAGGTTACAATGATAATATACTTTTCATTTGATTTCAATGTTTAATTTTTCAAAATACACATTTTCTTCACCTACTTAGTTTTATTTGTGTGTTTTGAAGCAAGTGTGTGATGATTTAGATATGCAGTCTTGCACAAAACTGGCAGCTAGCAACATTATTCTTGTACTGCTAGTAAATAAATTAAAATAAAAAAAACATGTAAAGGAGCAACCTTTAACCCCTTGATTAACCAACTAGATTTAGGTTAATCCTGAAAAAAAACTTGGTTGAACTGTCTCTTTAATCACCATATCTCCTGAAAATAACATATTGTATGAAATATTTGCCTGAGACTTTTACATGTTGCTGCTGTGTTGCACCTGACTGGTGATAGAAGGTGAATGGGGCTATTTTAAGCTGCAGCAAAACACAGGCGATTTGGCAGGCAGCAATTTCATGCACAGCTGGTGTCTTATATCTTTCATCCCTCTATGCTCAGTATTAAGGGAGTCAGGGGACACTGCACACCAGGGACAAACCACAAAGAACGACTTCCTATCTTTATAACTTGTCTTTTGTATTTCCATATAAAGTAGTCTCCAGTGAGATAAGACTGTGATATGAGCATTTATGTTGTCAGGGAATTTCATATTTTGGCTTAAATGCATATTTTGTCTTATTTAAAACTGATTTTACTTAGCATATTTATTTACAAGTATGCATTTTGTCCTGATTTACTGTGAAGCAAGTACATAGTTATACAATTTACATAAATTATACTACCAATTTTAAAATTATTTAGAATTCAATTTTAATTCAATTCAGTTTTATTTGTTACTTGTAGAGCACCTTTGTAGAGCAATAGGATCAACTGAAAAATCACTGGGAACTCATAATACATAAATGATATGGCAGTGGAGGCACTCTTGGCCATCCTCATAATTTTGCTTATTTCTGGTATTATAATTTGGCTTTCGAGCAGCTCAATGGCTAAAATGCTAAATGCTAAAATGGTAATATCAGCCAGCCAGCAGTGTTTTCAGAGGGAAGTAGCTAAAGCGTGCTCGAAAGGTCGCTGGAAGTCGTTAGATGATGTCATAGACTAATTTGCATATAAATTGTAAATCATAATCATTGATGTGTCAAATTGCAAATTAGGGTAGATGAAGAAGGAAGATTTTCACTTAGAATATGATAGAATAGAATGCAAGTTTTATCAGAATACAAAATAATATAATTTATTTCTTAAATAATTGAAGAAGTCATCTATGGTCATGGCACCATGCACAAAACTTTTATGCATTTACACAATACAATCTATTAAGTATTTTATGAAATACTATCTAATAAATACTTTCTATTAAGAAAGCAGACAAAATGAAGCAGTGACAGTGAGCAGTTGTGAAAGGTGAGTTAGTCATGAAAGGAAACAGTGCTAATAATGCTAAGCAATAAGTTCAGCTGGAAAGTATGAAGAAAATATAGGGCAGTGAAGGCACTTCTATCCATCCTAAATAATCATTATGGGTCAAATTTATAAATCTTAAATGAGCCAAATTTCATTTTCAAGCACTTTAATGGCCGAGTGGGCAAACACTAAATGCTAAAATGCTAACATCAGCCAACTAGAGTACTTCTGTAACATGATTAGATGGTAAGTCATGCAGGATAAATGAAATCATCAAACACAATAAATCAATGCCTGCTTAGGGAAGATGATTATCTGAGAGCTAGGTTTCTAAAAGGTTTCCCTGTATATAAACTAGTCTATAGCCACATTATTCCCTGCTGTTAACAGCTAGTGAAATTGTTGGTTTAGCTATGAAAGTGGACCGCAGATGTGCTCTGACATGGTCCAGCATTGAGGAGTTGAGTGGAACAGACAGCTGAAACAAAAATGAGCTAGATAGGAAGGAAGCTTTTGGCTTTATCGACTATTTCTAAATAAGAACTGTGTGCTGGGTAAAATGTAAAGCATAATTAATGAAAGTCACCTGTTGTATAGAGATAGAGCTCTACTACTATACTGTATTTACTATACATTTCTCTTATTCTCTCGGTATTTTTCTGAAGTTGGGTACATTTATCACCTATATCTTAATAGCAATGCCCTCAATAAATAAACAGCCTACCTCATAGGCTACCACACTTATAAGCTCTAAGGACATGAATAAACAATAAGCAATCAAGACATGAAAAAACATTAATAATCATTAATTTGATGATATAAGTTAATTAAAATATATAATTGCAACACAAAGTTATAAACACTTCTTTTTCAGGCTCTTGTTTTTTAATACCACTCCAGCATAGCTTTGGCAGTATGCATAAGGTTGTTGTCCTGTTGGAAGGTGAACCTTCAATTCTCTAGCAGACTGGAACAGGTTTTCTAGGATTGCCGTGTATTTGGCTCCATTCATCTGGCCCTGAACCCTGACCAGTTTTCATCCCTACAACATGATGCTACCACCACCATGCTTTTCTGTGGAGGTGGTTTTCTCAGGGTGAGCAGTGTAGGATCACAGAGGTACAAAGTTGAGAATTAAAGCAGACCTGGTGTGTATATACATATATATATATATGATATATCCTTTTTACACTCACGACAAGCACTGTGAAGTACAGTTCTGCTACAAGCTCTCATAAGTCAATGTCCTACAAGATGACTAGTATAGACAAGCTCCAAGAATCCTCCCTCCGACTTTGGAAAGCAATATATAGCAAGCAAAATAATGGATCTTCAAATGCAGAAAAAAAAATGAATCAGTTAAAAGGACGAGGCTGTGAATTAAGCTTTAATTGTCACCTTTAAAAGTGCTGATAAGACACTTACAATTTAAGTTTTTAAAGCAACCAAACAGGATGAGCCAAGAACACATCCAAGAAGTTCAGATGGTGCAGCTGCAATGTGGAGAAATATTACAAAAAGCAGTCAGCTTTACACATTAAACATTGCTGTTTTTATACAACTAAAATGCTTTATGTTTAATGACCTGTTATTTTACATGGAGTTTCAAGCAACTTCATGATGATCAATTTCTGATTGGACAGCCCTCTCAGAACCTGAATAAGGGAGTCATAAGCCACCCGAACACTGGCTACATCCTGTTCAGAAAAGAGTCAGCTTGTTAGTTCTCACTTCTTTGTTCCTTTAGCTAATACTGAAAGGCATCTCATTGTAACTGGATGAAAACAGCAGTCACTTGCTCGTTGGCTGCTGCCAGGCACATCAGAAGCTTCTTCCGCACCACATACAGGAAGTTCTGATTGTGGATGCTGGCAAACACATTGCAGAATGAACTCTACATGTGTAGTAACAGAAGGTAATCAGAGAAACTGGCAGAGTAAACAAACAAACGATCTTTGCCTTGTGGAGGGCATGACGCTTCAAACCAACTTGCATAACCCCAATGTCTTCAAGACGGCAGTGATGAAGTGATTTGTCCCTCTGTCTCTCCTATCATTAACATGATACCATTAACATGTGAAAATGATCAGACCTGATAAAGGGCACCTCCCCCTTACCTGGGGTAAGACTCTCCTGCGGTGCCAGGAGCAATGAAAAGTTAGAAATCCCACAGAACATTTGATACAGGCTTCCACTGGGGGAAATAGCAGCATATGCAGTTACACATGAATACTGATATGCTGAATCACCCCAGAGTCTGACTGAGCCGTTGAATCACCATAGGGTGAGTAAAAAGTGTCCTCCAGCATGGGTCACCTCAAGTCAAGTCAAATCAAGTAAAACCTTATAGGAGGCTTGCTGTGGAGGTTTGAAGCGATGACAACTTTGTGATGCCACAAAAAAAAAAAATCTCTTATCTGTATGCAGGTAAAATACAGCTTGTGACTGGTATAGTATAGGAATCGCGTCAGATAAAACTCAGCTGA